TTGGTAACCGCCCCGGTACTCATAGTACCCGAGAGCTCAGAAGGATATGTGATCTATAGTGATGCCTCCATGAAAGGACTGGGATGTGTGTTAATGCAACACGGCAAGGTTGTCGCATACGCATCTCGTCAACTTAAAGAATATGAAAAGAACTACCCTACCCATGACCTAGAGTTGGCCGCTGTAGTGTTCGCGCTGAAAATCTGGCGACACTACCTGTATGGCGAAAAAACTCAAATTTTTACCGACCACAAAAGTTTGAAATACTTCTTCACCCAGAAAGAGTTAAACATGAGGCAGAGAAGGTGGTTAGAATTGGTGAAGGATTATGACGTAGATATCCAGTACCACCCTGGGAAAGCAAATGTGGTTGCAGATGCCTTGAGTAGGAAGACGGCCCACTCGTCAGCCCTCATTACGAGGGAAGTAAGGGTACAAAGAGAGTTCGAGCGAGCCAACATAGATGTAGCGACCGAGGGAGTCATAGCACAACTGGCCCGACTCACGGTACAACCTACACTTAGGCAGAGAATTATTGTCTCCCAACAAGAGGATCCTAACCTACAGAAAGTCCTAGGACAGCTAGACGAAAGTCCAGTAGATGGATTCTCGAAGTCATCAGATGAAGGACTATTGTATCAGGGACGCTTATGTGTTCCAGCAATAGAAGATTTAAGGAAGGAAATACTGATGGAAGCTCACAACTCACCATTTGCGATGCATCCAGGAGGTACTAAGATGTACCAAGATTTAAAACAACACTTTTGGTGGAAGAGCATGAAGAGGGATGTGGCCGGGTTTGTGAGCAAGTGCTTAGTTTGTCAACAAGTGAAAGCTCCAAGACAAAAGACGGCGGGGTTGTTGCAACCCCTAAGCATACCAGAGTGGAAGTGGGAAAACATAGCGATGGACTTCATAGTAGGTTTACCCAAAACGCCCAAGGGCTATACAGTGATCTGGGTAGTTGTCGATAGGTTGACCAAGTCGGCACACTTTCTACCTG